GTGGTGGTGATGGTGGTGGTGGTGGCACGCCCGTGACTGTGTTGTGCCCACGGTTGGTGGCACGTCCGTGACCCGACGATGCCCGTAGCAGTTGCATGCCCGTGGCGGTGCCGTGCCCGTGTGGTTGGCGTGGTGCTGGCGTGGTGCTGAGCGGGTGCCCCCCAGCATGCTCATCACCTACGACGACGTGGTGAAGATCTCGGACTTTGGCACCTCCAAGGAGCTCATTGACAAGAGCACCAAGATGTCCTTCGCGGGCACCGTGGCCTGGATGGCGCCCGAGGTCATCCGCAACGAGCCCGTCTCCGAGAAGGTCGACATCTGGTGAGGACACGGGGATCAGGGACCTCGGGGACCTCGGGGACCTTGGGGACATTGGTGACCTCGGGGACATCGGGGGCATCGGGAATCTCGGGGACCTTGGGGACAAGGGGACCTCAGGGACATCAGGGACCTTGGGGACAGATGGACATTGAGGGGCATTGGGGACCTTGGGGACCTCGGGGACATCGGGGGCATCAGGGACATTGGGGACATCAGGGACATTGGGGACATCAGGGGCATCGGGGACCTTGGGGACCTTGGTGACCCTGGGGACCTTGGGGACACAGGGACCCTGGGGACACGCAGACCTCGGGGACCTCAGGGGCCTCGGGGGCATTTGGAATCTCGGGGACCTTGGGGACCTCAGGAACAAGGGGACTGCAGGGACATCAGGGACCTTGGGGACACATGGACATTGAGGACATCAGGGGCCCTGGGCACCTCAGGGACATCGGGGACATGGGGACCTTGGGGACCTCAGGGACATCAGGGGCATCAGGGACATTTGGGACATCAGGAGCATCGGGGACCTTGGGGACCTTGGGGACCTCGGAGCCATTGGGGGCATCAGGGACATTGGGGACATCAGGGGCATCGGGGACCTTGGAGACCTTGGCGACCCTGGGGACCTTGGGGACACAGGGACCTTGGAGACACGCAGACCTCAGGGACCTCAGGGACCTCGGGGGCATTGGGAATCTTGGGGACCTTGGGGACCTCGGGGACAAGGGGACCGCAGGGACATCAGGGACCTTGGGGGGGACATAGACATTGAGGACATCAGGGACCCTGGGGACTTCAGGGACATCGGGGACACGGGGACCTTGGGGACCTCGGGGACATCAGGGGCATCAGGGACATTGGGGACATCAGGGGCATTGGGGACCTCGGGGACCTTGAGAAACTTGGGGACTTTGGGGACAGGGGGACCTCAGAGACCTCAGGGACCTCGGGGACAAGGGGACCTCAGGGACATCAGGGACCTTGGGGACACATGGACATTGAGGACATCAGGTGGGGACCGCGGGGACCTTGAGAAACTTGGGGACTTTGGGGACAGGGGGACCTCAGAGACCTCAGGGACCTCGGGGACAAGGGGACCTCAGGGACATCAGGGACCTTGGGGACCTCAGGGACATTGGGGACACAGGGACCTTGGGGACATCGGGGACCTTGGGGACACCAGGCAGCTGTGGTGGCAAGTGGCACTTTGGGAAGCAGCGGGGACAGCGGGGGGGGCACAGGAGGCCCCGGGGACAACGGGAACAGGGGACACTGAGGTGACACGAGCTGGTGGGGACACTGCCAGGAC